ATCTATCTATCTATCTATCTATCTATCCATCTATCCATCTATCTATCTATCTATCTATCTATCCATCTATCCATCTATCTATCTATCTATCTATCTATCCATCTATCCATCTATCTATCTATCTATCTATCTATCCATCCATCTATCTATCCATCTATCCATCTATCCATCTATCTATCTATCTATCTATCTATCTATCTATCTATCTATCTATCTATCTGTTGTACGGTTATTTCATTAGCTGAGTTTTAAAACATCTGTGAGTTCTCTAAAATAGAATAGAATAGTCTTTATTGTCATCGTAACACAGGGGGAATAACATATATTTGATGCACTAATATTATAAACGGGAACAGGAATTTGGGATTATAGCAGTACTTCTCAATTACTTATCTGTTACAGCCACCCCAGGAAGAAGACAACATTTTGCGCCCCCACACTCTCCACCGCAAGAGTAGTATAATTTGCCTTTTATAAAAAGACTTATAACAATGGTGTTAACATTAAAGAAAAAAAAAAGAAAAAAAAAACTGAAAATATTTAAAGTTCATCAAATCTCTTGGAATATTGCTATATTAAAAATATATATTTTATCTATAATATATAAAATATATATTAAAAAATTCTTATTTAAACTATAAACATTTTTTAACCGACTAATTCAGTCTTTCTCAAATAGTTTTTAAATTAAAAATTAAATAAATCAATCAAATAATAACAAATTCAAACTGATTAGCAACATTTACTCAGAAGCACAACTTACTTTACTGTTGTAAATAAACATTTTAGTAAAATGTAATGTAGAGAAAAGTTTTTTCATATGTTTTTTTTATTTTTGCAGAACAAGATTGAAAAGTGATAAACAAAAAGATTCCTTTGGAACATTCCGTTTTTTAACATAAAAGCAAAAATAAATAAATACCCCAATGGCTAATAATCGAGTAACTCCTCACAGCAGGACATACACGAAACAAAAATGAATAAAATAATTTGTGCTGATATTTTTTTTTTAGCAAAATGAGGAAGTCAGGATTAATGGCTATAATGAGCACTTTTTGCATTGCACAGCGTTTCGAAGGGAAGTTTGAAGCGCGATACTCCAACGCTCAGTGTTTAGCTATGACCTGTACTTGGTCTTCAGTGCAGCAAGCGCGTCTCACAAAGATAAGATGTCGCAAAAGGAAGAAGAATGCCCATTGCACTCTGCCCTAAGTGGATAGTGCCTCTCTGGACTCACCCAGAATTCACTCAGTGTCTGTGATGAACCTCGGTTTAGAGGTTCATCACAGCCTCTAGTTGGAGCTGGTGCACTGAAAGTATCTAGTCATCCTGGGAACTGTTTCCAGGGAAGTACTTTTTAAAGAATCCCAATCAATGATGAGATATGCTGCTTAATACATGGAAGTTCTCATCACAAAATTTTTCTGCGACTTCATACTTGTGCTCCTGCTCAAAAAAAAACATTCCTATCTGCCCCCTGAGCTCGAAAACTCCGGACAAGTCTTTTCCTTGTGACAGCCATTTTGCTACACCGTGAAACGGCATAGCTTGATGTTCAGCTCCCATCTATTCACCGATAGCTGGTCTTTATAAATTGATTACACATAAAATGTCAGAGAAGCACTGGCATCAAGGCACCTTACCTCTGAATTAAGTTAGTTTATGACTGTGTATAAGGAACGGAAGGAAAGAAAAATTAACTACTTGTCATTGTGACAAAGCACACCACTGCACACAACGAAATGTGACCTCTGATTTTTAACCCATCACCAAAGTAAACAGTGGGCAGCTTTAAGCTGCCCAGGGAGCAGGGAGTGGGGACAGTGACATGTTCAAAGATCTCAGTGGTAATTTCGCATCTGGTGGACTCAAACCTGAAGCCTATCAGACCCAAGTCCGTTTCCTTAACCACTAAGCCACCACTGCTCCAAAAATAATATTACTATCATGAAAAATTGCAAAAAAAAAAAGCCCCCAGAAATGCCTTAAAATCCAAGTTTATGGCCCAAAACATGCTGCCAAGTAAATGTTTTGTGCTAAAAAAACTAAAAAAAACCAAACATTTTTTCTAGACCAAGTGGCGCTTTGGCCCAGAGGCAATGTCTCTGTCATTGGTGTGGAACCCCAGGGTTCACCTCCTGGGCAAGTTCAAATCCCGGTTAGGGCAGTTCGTACCTTCCAGTGGACTCACCACTCGCAGGAAGGTTTGGGGCGGGTTGGTACGGTGCAGTGTGATTTGGGTGGAGACTGCTGCCCCCGTGACCCGGTAACGGATAAGCGGATGAAAATGGATGGATGGATGGATTTTTTCTAGACCATTCCACACAGCATTAGGTGAGGCCTTCTTGATGAGTGCCTTGATAAGTCCCTTTTTCATCCCTGCCATGGTCTGTGTACCATCACTGCAAACACCAACACAGTTCTCACACTTTAGCCCATTCTCAGTCAGGAAGCAGTCCAACATTTTGAATAGTTCGACAGCCGTGGTTCTTTATCTGACATATTTACCAAAAAGCAGATCCTCACATAGGGAGTTTGTCATATCAAAATGTACATGAGCAATAAACAAACACAATTTAATCAAGCAACTGACAGAAAAAGCTAAGGCAAAACGTTTGTCTTTGACTTGATTTGTTGGACAGAGATTTGTTGGACAGAGGGATAGTTTTCATTTTTTGCAGCATTTGTGTATTCCAGCATTACAGAAACCATGTCTATTGCTGCAGGCAGTATCAGCTCCTCTGCTACAGTGTGGGGGGTTTTTGCAGTCAGCATCATATAAGGTGGCGTACCAAAGCTAACAGTGCTCGCTGGTTTACTGAAGTAGCAATTGCACATTCACAACCTATCGTTGTTGTTACACTTAATTCTAGTATGGCAAAAAAATGCATGCTCCTCGGGGCCACTATTTGAGAATGACTGATTTATATTTAAAAACATAACATTTAAACTCTATAAATCTGGAAAAGTGTGCCTAAATATCTTAAATAACCTTTATTTGGCCCTTGGCCTCCACTACAAGAGTAAAAACTTTCCAGCAGTTTCATTTTTAAATTTTGATTTGGATCTGGTCTTTTGTGGGCCATAATAAGCTATTTTTAAATAGACCATTTTCATCCTACACAACATTATGTCTACTTTTGTTATTTCAACCAGCAATTAAGGTGTTTGACACTTAAGTGTCACAATCTCTTTTGTTACTTAAAGAATATAAAAATTAGGGTTGGTGTT